AATCAAATCCATCCAAGATGATAAGAATATGTTCATGTATATGCAACTACAAGGTAGGTAAATATTGCACCTTGTTTAGCATTTGAAAACCTTAAAAAATTGTAGCCAATAATCTATTAACCCGTAGCACCAAGTGAGTTCTCACTGACTGACTTACCTTGTTTGGACTACATTAATTGAACACGTTTTTGACACGCGTTTTAACATTTAAAAATCATTATAATTTAAACAAATCAATAAGTAATTAATAAGTAAAAATATAAAATATATTTTACTTACATAAACCATTGAAATGGGTTTGCTAAAAAAGAGAAGTAGCAAGGATGAAGCCTGAAGGACAATGTGCTCGTCACTAACGTTTATTCTGAGAGCTTGTTTGGGAAGGATTAAAATCCAATTAAAATTGAAAATATAGCCGTTATTGGGTCCCACACGTCTAATAAAAGTCAACTCCAATAGCTATATTTTCAATTTTAATCTGATTTTAATCCCTCCCAAACAAGCTCTGAATATTGAACCTGAAAAGGTCTAAGATCAAATCGAGGTTTTCCAAATGTCCAAATCAACCCTGCTGCTGAAACATGGCCAAAATCAGGCCCAAAAACAGGGGGCTGCTCAGCCCTTGATTTCAATTACAATAATTCAAATCAAGGGCTGAGGTGCATCCACCTCAGCCCCCTGTTTTTGACCCTATTTGAGTAGCATTTTTTATGTCGGAATACGCGTACCTGTTTCTCTTATAGTGAATCAGACGAAACTAATTGCAAGATAACGTCCAACAAAAAGGTAACTTGTCCAATTAACGTTCATTTTCATTTTTCAGTAAATATTTTATTAAGATTTGAACGAGTTTTTACATTTTAATTTTGACTATATTTTCTGGGTTTTGGTTGTCTTTTTGATTTTTCATTCCTTAATGTAAACCTTCAAACCCTTTTCTTTTACAACATGCAGTGAAGTCGGTTTCAATGGCGAATGAAAACATTTTGAATTAGGGACACAATTAAACCTGCAAAAAAAAAAAAAAAGTTGTCGCCGATTTGCTAACCATAGACTCGAATGTGGGTTCTCCACATTAATTAATAGAAATTCTCCACGATCTTTTTTTGTATGTGCCCTCCTCGTAGCTCGAGGCAATTTAGGCTCGTATTTAATGCTTTTATAAATTATGTATTTCTTGATTAATTCCAAGTGAAAACAAATATGATAGCACGTGGATGGTTAATTAAGAGAAGAAGAGATAAAAAAAGAGATATTGTTGACACACAAAACAGGCAGCCCAAATCAAATGGCCCAAGAGAGGAAATGACTCTAAAGAAGAAACCCAGATAGAGAGATCAGGGTAAAAGCCCAACCAGAAATATCATTAAATATGAAGAAAGCCCAAAAAGACAAAGGTACAATGACGCCCAAGTCGGCAGGCCGCCCAGATATTGAGCGAAGGAAACACCCTACAATCGCCCAGAGCAGAAGATCGATTGTCGCCCAAGAATGCCGAGTCGCCCAAAGTCCAAGAAATGACCA